CAAACAAGTCAAGTTTTATTCAAAAATATTTTTATCCTTTTTATTTGAAGTTAGAATTCATCAAGACAAATAAGCCTTTTTTGATCGAAAAGGGTTTTCACGAGCACATAATAAAGGTTAAGGCTTTGACTAATGAATAAAAGAATATAAAAAGTTTAAAAGGTTAAGGTATTTGACAATATAAAGACTCACTTAGTTGTTTATTGAGATCATTTTAGGCATGCTGCCTTGATTTTGTCATCTCACCAATTGATCTCATTTTCTAATCTCATCTCTCCTTTCATGTTCACTATTATCATTCATTTTTTTTATTTAGGGATTTCTAACTCTTTCTAACTTCAAATCATGAGAGAGATCATGTTAGATAATACCTTTTTTTGTCTTAATACTTCCACTTTTGTCTTTCATTTTCCCTTTTTTTTCAAAGTCATTCAAAGGTTTCTCGATAAGTTTTTGTTTTATGAATAATTATCATCCTTTCTCATCTCATTTTTCTAAAAAAAACCCTTGATTACTAATGAACTTCAAAATTACCTCTAATATGAAGGTTTATCCTAATCTAGGTCATTATCGAAAGAAATCTTTATGGCTCAAAGTGAGATAATAAGGGTTAAATTTTTGTTTGCGGAGAAGTATATCAAAAATGACTTTTCATCATTTCAAATATAGTCTTGTTCAGATTGATAAGTTCTGATTTTATTTGAAAATTATGATTGACTTATAGAGAAAAAGTGATGGATAAGGTAGGATCATGACCCAAATGTATACCACTCATCATCGTTTAAGACATCAAATAATTTTTTTTCCACATCAATGTATTATCTTAGAAGGATTTGTTAGGAATAGAAGAGGAATGTTTTTGGTTTCAAAAAGAGGGATTGCGCCCTAACATTTGTGCGAAATGTTTTGAAAATTGATTAATGTTTAAAGATTTTGAATGAATTTTCCATTTTGTTCATTTTGATCTAGATGATATAAAATGATAATGGTGCTTTCAAATAAACATATCTTGATTTTAAATTGATAATAAAATCAAGCCAAGATAATAGGAATTTCTTTTTTTTTTTTTAAAAAAAAAATGACTAACTCCATGAAAAGCACAACACTTTTGTAAATCAAATCTGAAAATTCTATATATAAGGTAAGATTTCATTCATAAAATCAAGATACATTTATACTTCTCCGATGAGCTTTGGATGTTCTCCTCCATTCATTTTAGTGCATATTATAATTAGAGTTAGACCGACCTTTTTTTTTAGCATAATCATTGGGTGTTTTTGTTCTCAAGATATGATCATATTGAATATCTCAAAGGCAGGGTGAAAATGAGAATAAAATATAACGAAGAAAGAAATCAAATATGGCGATTTGAGAAGAACATTTACACGATCTCATAAATTAATATCATATGAAAGCATGATAGATAAATATGATAAAAAAAAATTACTTGACCTTGAAAAAAAAAAGGCATTTATTCATCGGACTAGTCATTCAATTCCTTCCCTCGGATGGTGTCACATTCATAAACAAATCGACATTAAATACATCCTTAAGTGTCGATGAAAGACACTATCATTTTTGGACTATCAAGTACCGACCTAAGCTATATAACTTCATTTTTAGCATTGGGTTTCTCAACCCCTAAAATATTCACCATCATAGCATGAGATGATTGGATCAAACTCAAGTCTTTACTATATAAATCGGTAATGTATCAAGACTTCTTTGATTTCTTTTCCTCTCTTTCTACCCTCGAGTTGTTAGAGCTAGCATGGTCCGTACCTCTTGATGAAATTCATGACAAATATCAATATTCTATCCACTCTCTTTATGGAACTTATAGAAGGACTCAACATGAAAAGGAGCTTGAGACTTGGCTAGTATCTTGTTAATGTTGATGATAGATAACATATCAAATAAACAAAGCATGAAAATTATAGAAGGACTCGACATGGTTGGAAAGGTGATTAGCATTCATATTTGGGGCATATGAAGTATCATCGAGTGAAATCAAGCCTAGGTCAATCAATAAGCAAACATGCTTATTTAAAACTAGACAATCTTCAATATTATGATGAATTTTGCCATCTTAATAAAGGATCATGCATCTTATTAAGGTGTAGAATAAAACAAAAAAAAATCATCTAAGGCTCTCAAGATCGAACCGTTGAATCAACTAATCATACATACATGAATAAATAATTAAAGTAAATGTTTACCTCTTGTAGCATAGAAACTATCTATACAAAAAGATGTTGTTCAAGTGTTCGACCTATTGATAATCCACGTAATTTAAACATCTATAAAAGAAGCTATAAAAATCCCAAAGTGCTAGCTCCAATCATTTTGTATAGTTAATTTATTCTCTTAAGGAATTAGTCAAGGTTTTTTTTATGACAACCACTGAGAGAGGTATATGCGGTAACTCAAGCTTTTTAGGAGAAAATGTTTTTCTGTTTTTCTTTTCTTGTTGTCGTATGTTTGTTTGCATTAACCTATTCTTGCCACCTCTCTCTCTTTATTTATATAATAAGGGCATCTTTGTCTTTCAAGGATAAAGATTTACAACATATGTGTGCTAGTTTGATCTTATCCTTGTAAACCCCGAGCCTTATCTAATACTACACAAGTTTATTCTTTTACTAAAATATCTTACGGGCGTTTAAATTAAGCTTATTAGCCCATACTCTTTTGGCCTACTTAAATACCGATTAATTTGGAATATTCAAATAAATTTAGTCGGATATTTTCAAGGAAATCCATATTAGGAAATAATTTTCAAATTATCCTTAAACCTAAATTGGAAAACTAATTTTTCTTTTAGCTAATCGACTTTCAAATTTAGAACTCACTTTTAAATTAGAAAATTGATTTCTAAAATAGAAAATTTTTCATTTTAGGAACCATTTTTTCAAAACAGAAAACTTTTCATTTTAAAAAAAAAAAAATTCAAAATAAGAAACTTTCAAAACTAGAAAGCTTTTCCAAAATCTTTGCTTTTTTTTTTTTTAATCATGTGAATGATTAAACTTAAATGAGTGGCTCAATAGGCTTTTAGATATTTTGGCCATGTATCAAGAATAAAACACACATCTTTTAACTCTTGATGTATAAATCAAGATTGATGTCTAACAAGACATCATGACTACCTAATTCTCTAGGAGGATTAATAATCTATAATTACCTTTCACGAGCATGGTTACCATACAATTCAATCCTCATATTAATTGATCACGATGTGATCTTGAGCTTAGTTTAAAGTTTGTTCGATTTTGATCACATAAGTTTTCTTTAATTCCTAAATGTCTTAGCTACTAGAGTAAACTAAGCGTGCTCTATTGGTATACTCCTACTATGGTAATAGATTTCTTAAGTAGTCATTCATCGAAATACAATATAATAACTCTTTTAGCATAAAGGAATGACATGTCCTATCTTAGTCATCTACCTATCTTCATTAGATTTCTAATACACTTAACGAATTATCCACATGCGACTCTTGACTAAACCTATCGAAATAAGTATCAAAGTACATAAATCTTATAATGAGATAATCGTCATGAATTCAAGTCAAATGACCAGTTATACCTATATTGTATGAGATTTTTATAGACTAGACCAAATGAATTCTCATGATGAGTCATGTCCAATGATATGTTCTCTAATATTTATCACTTAAGTGCTTGCTTTGGCATCACCATACCAATAGGTGTGAGATCTCCTATCGCTATCTTATAGTATGAGCATAGCACTCGTAAGTCTCATCACATATAATCAATGTCTATTCTTGACAATGCTTATGACTTGAGATATTTAATGATATCATTTAAGTACATCAATATTTTTTCACATAAATTGATCAATCATTAATGCAATGTATATCATATAAACTTCTATTTAATTTTATCAAATTATAAACAACAAGATTTAATAGAAAGACTTCTTTTATTAATAAATAAAAATTTAATATTATAATAAATCAAATCATTCAAACAAGGTTGAATATTGAGCACCTACTACTAACACTTGATACTTATAAGATTCATTGAAATTATACCACTTAGAAAATAGAGATTGTCATAGAGTGGTTGACATAGGAGTTACTAGGCTAGTAGAAGAAATGATGGTATTTTTTCTTTTTTTTTGTGATGCTGTAGTTCTTCGGTTGTCTTGATTGAATTGTCTTTACTTGATGGTTGAGTTGCGAAGGATGTTTTGCATGAACATTTTGAGAAAAAGTTTGTGATAGATGAGAGTGATTTAAATGACTATTTGGATTGAAAGTAGATTTTCCAATCTGGTGAACATTGGCATGGAAAGATGTGAATCGAAACTTTTCATCGTGGACTTGGGTCACTTATTTGGTTAAATCCTAAGATGAGTTTTTGTATTTTGACTCTTAGTGTATTTAAATAATTTTGGCACTTTGAACTTTTTAGGAATCATGATATTCAAGATCAAGCATCTATCTATTATTAAAAGCTAGTCATACATATCTACGCCCTCAATGGCTATGAAATGTTCCTCGATAGTATTGGACTTCTCGGTTTTAGTTTCGAACTCATTTTTTCTTTTAGTTTTTTTTTCAATAGTTAAATCAACCATAAGAGTTGTCTAGGTTTGTTAAGTATGCGGTTACCATAACTATGAATTCTTATGAAAATAAAATAGCTAATATAAAGAAATTAAATAAATAAAACTCTAATTTGGACCCGACTAAAGGCTAACACATCTGGCCCAAATTGATCTTGAAATATTCTATCTAGTTGAATGGACCTAACTGGAAGGGGCCACCCTCTAGTGTCATTCGATGGGCGAAAACCATTCAGAGCATTATTGGGTCAATTGCACTCTATTGGCATAGATAAAAAGCCGAAAGCCCAAATCTCCACGTACCATCTACACACCCAGATGGCCAGATTGGCCTTATATTTTTCTACAGACTTCCCCCACCAGCAGAAGCTCACTGAACATTATCATTTTATCCAGAAAGAAGAGTAATGCAAGCAGCTGCAATAGCAGCCATGGCAGCCCACGCAATCCTCACAGCCACTCCACCAACTCTTCACCCTCTTCTTTCCCCACTTCCCCCTAATTATTCCTCATTCCATGGCGTTTTCCTCAAGCTCCCACGCCAACCTTTTTCCTTGTCTCTTGCTACCAAGAAGCCACAACCTCTTTTTGTTGCTGCTGCTACCAAGAAAGCTGTTGCTGTCCTTAAAGGCACTTCTAATGTTGAAGGCGTCGTCACTTTGTCCCAGGAAGACGATGGTCTGTCACTCTTGTCCATCTCTCTTTTTCTTAAATTTTTTGTTGTGAATGTTGTTGATGGTTGAGGTTGACTTTATGATTCTTTTCTGGGTGATGAGAAATTAGAGAAAAGAGTAAACGGGTGTGCTTGGTTTTTGCTTTTGGAAAATGGGTTTTCTTTTTTGACTGTAAGAATTTTTTTTTTATCAATTAAAGTTGTTCTTGATGTGTTTGCTAACCGCATTGTAATTTTATCCTTGTTGAGTTTATGTTTGATGTTGTCTTTTTTTTTTTTATTTGGTTAATTCAGATTAGAATTGAAGTTGTTAAATTTGAAATTGGTTATTAAGTAATGAAGTTGGAACTAGATAATCAATGCTAGAGAGTACTTGTTTTATTGATATTTGATTTCTGCATTTTAGAATATAAATTTTGAAAATTATTTCAGACAATTTATATGGCAATCTGATTTCAAGTATTTTGTTTTTTCCACAAACTGTCTGGTTGATGGTTTAAGTTTGTTTAACCTGTAATAGTTCTTTTTAGGTTTAGTTTTGTATTCTTTGATGTTTAATTTCGAAAAGTAGTTAAAATGTTGTTTCCAAAAGGAAAACTGTCTTGTGGAAAATTTTGAATTGCAAGTCTTGAATTAGGAGATCCATGCATTCCTGAGACTTGAATTAACTAATTGATAGGGTTTTTGTTCTTTCCATCACTGAAAAGCTTGAATTTCCAATCATCCCAAGTCAGATAACCATAGTCGTTTCAGTTGAGTGAAGGTTATTGCCAAAACTCAGAGACATTGGATCCCTGATGGTGATTTACATATTATTTGCATTTTGCTTTGGATAGGTCCTACAACTGTGAATGTTCGTATTACTGGGCTTTCTCCAGGGCTTCATGGTTTCCATCTAGTGAGTGTTCTTGGCTTCAGCTTTTATCATCTTTGGACCTGAATATAGTTTACTTTCCATAGTTTAATGTTTTTATTGTTATTTTTTTTATGGCATTTTGTAGCATGAATATGGGGACACAACAAATGGATGCATGTCAACAGGTAGGACTTGAAAGCACTGCATTGTCAGCAAACTGTTTCAGTTTTGGTTCCTATATTGTTTCAATTAATTCATAGATAATCCTGATGCTTGATTGGTATATTTATAATTTTCTTTGTCAAATTCAAATACCAGGAGCACATTTTAATCCTAACAACTTGACACATGGTGCTCCTGAGGACAAAATCCGTCATGCGGGCGACCTGGGAAACGTAGTTGCTAATGCTGATGGTAATGTCTTTCTGATATTCATTTGGTTTCTATGGGCTTCTCTGATCCAATTAACTTATCCTTGTAATTTTGGTAGTACAGGGGTGGCAGAGGCAACAATAGTGGATAATCAGGTAATGTTTGTGAACTAAAGCGTGATGTTTTATTTTTTAGCAGCTATAATGTACTTTATTTCTTTGGTTTATGTTCTTGTTTAATACTTTTCTCCTTTATTGATATGCATTTACTCAATTTTGGAGTTTTGACAAAAAATAAATAAAAATAAATAAATAAATAAATAAATAAAATTGTGCAGATACCACTGGATGGTCCTAACACAGTGATTGGAAGGGCACTCGTGGTCCATGAGCTCGAGGATGACCTTGGAAAGGGTAAGTTCTTATTCAGATTATTTTTCCATCCATTGCAGTACATTTGTGTTTGACAGCCATTGAACCATGGAGGCATCCTGGGTACAGACCTTTGCAACATCAGCTTTGTTACCTGTCAAACTTAGCTTCCAATTATAAATTATTTCTTTTGCTAGTTTAGAAACTTTCTCTTTTATGCCTCTATGTTCATTGTAACCATGAGAAACAATCTCTGTTGTGTGAGGATGGAGGGGACATAGGAGACAGGAGTTGAAACTAACTTCTAAATGCTTGCGAAACATCTGTGGCTGACAGCCATTGAACCATGGAGGCATCCTGGGTACAGACCTTTGCAACATCAACTTTGTTACCTGTCAAACTTAGCTTCCCATTATAAATGATTACTTTTGCTAGTTTAGAAACATTCTTTTTTATACCTTTATGTTCATTGTAACCATGAGAAACAATCTCTGTTGTGTGAGGATGGAGGGGACATGGGAGACGGGAGTTGAAACTAACTTTTAAATGCTTGCGAAACATCTGTGACTGACAGCCATTGAACCATGGAGGCATCCTGGGTACAGACCTTTGCAACATCAACTTTGTTACCTGTCAAACTTAGCTTCCAATTACAAATTATTACTTTTGCTAGTTTAGAAACTTTCTTTTTTATACCTTTATCTTCATTGTAACCATGAGAAACAATCTCTGTTTTGCGATGATGGAGGGGACATGGGAGACGGGAGTTGAAACTAACTTTTAAATGCTTGCGAACTTGCGTTTTCCTATTTTGTTAGTGTTACGAGACTATGTATATAAAGTAGGAATTTCTTAAGGAATGAAGGCACAAAATGGTGTTCCAATCTCACATATTATGGTTGCAATTTCGCATGAATCACTTATTTTGATGATCTTTGCTTTTTTGTTGTTCTTAACATTTCTTCTCCATCCTGTTTGGTTTTTGCATCTATAGGTGGGCATGAACTCAGCTTAACCACTGGGAATGCAGGTGGAAGATTGGCATGTGGTATGTACAAATATTTTTTTTAAGAGCAGCTGTTGCATTTTTCTAGTAGCTAGATGGTTATGACTTGGCTGATCCATTTTTTGATTAAATTGTGAAAGCAATAAGTATTTGATAACTTCCTAGTTAAAATTTTGAAAATTATTTCTATAGATGAAGATCTAAAAAAACTTCTGAAGGTATTCTTAGCTCTATGCATGTGCATGCAATGTTCGTAGCTGTTTGTATGCCTCTGCACACATGCATAATGTGTAACTCCTTATTGTTTGCTTCTGTTGTATATGATTATGTGATAAGGTTGTTGACAATGTGCAATTTGATACCTCGGTGCTTTGGGCAATGATTTAAATGTAGAATTCATATTGTAGAGTAGCAGTTGATACATTAGATGCATAAAGCAAGGCATTTATCCCACCATGAAACAGCTTCTAAGCTTTGCAGTCTTTGTGAGGGTTGGATTTATTATTAATTTCAGAACTTAGATTTTACTGAATGCAGGAGCTAGGTTCTTTTTGACTGACTCTGTAGAAGAAAATTCTTTTTTGACTAAATATCTTGATGGAATTCCTTTATTAAGTGGAACATTCATGTCACCGACATGATTGCTCACAAGTTCACAATTACTATGCCGTGCATATGTTCTTGGTTTCCTGCATTTTTCTTTCATTGCTGCAAAAAGTTTTAACATCAGTGTATTGTGGTAAATATTTATGATACATTTTCATGGATTCCCGTTAGGATGAGTATATAATTGCAAAAATCGTTAGACCATGCATTCCTGGCTTTACTAGCATTTTTATGTAACTGAAGTCTCGTGAGCACACTCTAGTGGAATACTTCGAAGAAGTTTCATTCTGTAACCATAAAAACGTTAGGTAGTCTCATGTGCAACAAGCACCTATTATTTGACTGATGACTAGATCATTGCATTGAGCAGAATACACTTATGTGTGATTACTGAACATTTTCAGTAATTTCTCCCATATAATTTGGGTCTTATCCTCCAATTTCTTATCTGACTATTAACATTACAGCATGCAGTTCATCTCTGAAAAATCTTCATTATATTCTTGAATTATTATTCTCCTCCCTTTGTGCCATGTGTGTGCAGGAGTTGTTGGTTTGACTCCAATTTAATGGTAGCTGATGTTCGAAATCTGTCTGGTGTCACCATTTGCTGCTTGCCTTCACCGCTTTCTCATACAGAGCCCGACGTTAATTTTCCAGTGTGTAATGTAAAATTGTCAGGACAGCAGGTATCAAGGCATGATCTTAGATAGGTTTCCTACCTGAATAAAAATTGCTGCCATGCATACCTTGTCAATGCCAGAATTTGATATATCAGCTGTTGATTTGATCAAATCTGGATTGGTAACTTCTTTATATTCAACTGGAACTACTTAATGTTTCTATAATGCCTATTGTAGATTATTCCTGGAAAACTTAATGTTCCATGTTTAAATCTAGATGCCATGTCGTCATCTGCATCATGGTTTTAGTCTAGTGGGGTTTGCATATGAGCTTCTCTGGTGGATTTGAGGTCTTATTTTGTTACTTACACTAGAGGGGTTAACCACTCTTTTGACGATCCATATCGATGCAAAAAATTAGTTGACTGATTTAGTTAACTAATATGAATGTTTAACGCCGTCTAATTTGAAACTTGTATTATTCATTTTGACAATCCTAATCACGTTGAAAACTGGCAGAAAATCATGACAAGAACCGAACATGTATGCTTCCAAAATATACAAGGAACGGAAATCTTGTAGTAGGATTCGACGGATGGGCCAATTCTCGTTGAATTCTTGTTGTATTTCCTATTTCTTCTTTTGTAATGATATGAAATTTCTTGTTATGTAGTTAAATTCGTAAGATTTTATTTGCATGAGAGGCATAACCGTGCCTTTGTCATGTATATTTTAAAACCTCACAACACTTGGCAATGCCTGCCCACTTTCATTAACCAACCAATCTACGCCTGCAATCTATGGATGGCCACCGGTTGAAATCTCTAGTAGATTAAGAAATAGGTTAAAATTATGGATGTACTTTAGGTTTGGCGACCTAATCAAGTAAACCCCAAGATAAAAAAGAACAAATTGGCAAGAAAGAAGTAAGTAGAAATGGTTGACTGATGAAAGTGTACGAGATTCAGTCGGTTACAAAGACAAAACAAATTGAAAAACAAAAAAAAACACTAGGATTTAGTCTCGATTTATGAAAAATTGACTTGAGAATACGATAAATTTATTATTAAGATCCAAAATTAATTGCACTCTATCCATTGCCCTTGAGATGAGAAAATTTTCAATTTTTGGTGCCTGATCAAATTAACGTGGTCCTAAGCACATGTGATCGGTGGGTTCATGGATGCCATCATTCTAATTAGAATAGCCAACAAACTGATCTGCTTTTGCTAAATGCCAGTCAAAATTTCAATTTTTGGTGCCTAATCAACTTGTTGCTGAGCAATCTAATTACGCAAACGATCTGTCCTTATGCCTGAATTACCCAAAAAAAAAAAAAAAAAGCTCAATAATTCCTTCTGTTTACAAATCGCTAGGTGCATGGACAAAAGAAAGCAAAGTAATCATGAAGTAGGCTAAACAATAGGGAATTCCATTCCACCAGTAAATCTTGCTACGCATATATGCTATAAGCAGCCAAACATATTTCCACATTAGAAATAACCCAAGTTAACATGGGAGTCTTTTAACACCCAAACACATTTGGAGTATCGATTCTGCATCTAATTCGAACTGAAGTTTATGCAAGTAATTTCATGAATGAGGTTAATTAGATTTAAATATATTATTTTATTAAGAGATTAAATAAATGAGTTTTCTTTTTACGAGCTGAACCGACCCATTATACGTGCAACAATAAAAGGAAAAAAAATTACAAAAATCATAGATTGTGTTTAAGATACGTGTTGGATTCTAATTAGATCACAGTAAGTGAAGATATTTTATGAAGAAATTAATTAAATGATTTTTTATTTTTTTAATTGCCTGAACTAACCCTCTGTATACGTATAATTATGGTTTGTGTTTAAAATGCTTGTTGGGTCGTAATTGAATGAGAGAGATACACGAGAATGAAACCAAGTTGGCAAGTACGGTATGAGTTGGGCATGTTATGTATCTTTACATGTTGGTTTAAGAGTTGATTCACAAGTTAAGTGTGAGAGAGTATCGAGATCGGTACAAAGCCTAATTTGGGGTTGGATTTGGCATAAAGTCATTGTCAACATTGACAGGTGGGAGTTGGATGTCCACCTTAATTTGTCTTCCTGTTTGAATTAGTTACAACCTTCCAAGTGGCTCTCCAACACTACGAAATTGAAACCACTGCTCTTAGAGTATCCAACTACCCTTACAACTCGTATACTATTGGCCCTCGAGTTTCAAAATGTAACAAGCTGCATGCCACGCATACATCAAAAGAATTGACAAATTTTATAATAATTAAAAAATAACTAATATAGTATGTACAATAATTATTTTATAAAAAAAAATCAACATAATAAAAAAAGAGAGAAATAAGAAAGAAAAAATTAAAAAAAAAAATCGAGCGAAGGTGAAAAATTTCTTTTCACTTTTGATGGATGTAGATATATATATATATTTTTTATGTGTTTAGCTCTCTCTTCAAAAATGGATCAATGTAGCAATTATTATCCATATCATTAGTTACTTCTTTAAGTATTATAAAATTTATCGGGATTAGGGACTACAATGTGGCGGGGTGGGATAAGGATCGCCATTCTCATCCCCACCTCGCCCCTAAAAAATTTTCCCATCCCCATCCCCATCCCCATCCCCATCCCTGCCCCATGCTCCGAACGGGGCTGAATTTTCCATTCCATCCCCGCCCCAAACGGAGACGGGGATCCTCACGGGCAAACGGAACATAAACGAGGCAAAAATTATCCTTTTTTTTTTTTTTACAAACCATATCACCTAATAAATTAATTACTTTGCTTGGAGAACTATAAACTTCTTACCTAAAATATAGTCAATAAATCTAAACAGAAGTTGTCAAGACATAGCTTGAATGGAAAAAAAGAAAAAAAAACGATATCAAAGGAAAAAAGCAAGAAATCACATGGGACAAAAGTGACTAAGTCACTATACATGGAGCAAAACGGGACAGGACGGCCAAATTCCATCCCCGTCCCAAATAAAAAGCAGGACGGGGTTGGATTGGATTGGGTTCAATTGGCATCTCTAATTATATATCTATGTTATGGATTATTGTAGATGGTTTAGCTTTTATTTTTAAAATTTTTTTAGATGTAATTTTTGAGACCAGCATTTAATATAAAAAATCGATATAAAAGATAGTTCTAAAAAAATTAATTTCGATTGACAAGTAAAAAAATAAAACTTATAATGGGGTTAAACTATTTTGAGTGTCCACAAGATGTCAATACTAATTGTTGCGTTACCCTGCCATTTTTAAAATATCATTGAATAGCATGACCTGAGGCGAAGGTAACTAAAGTGGAAGAGCCGTGTTATGGGTGACCTTATTGCACGGTTCAGAAAAGCTTAAATGGTTTCCCTTTCTCGTTAAGGTGCTTTTAGTAGTCACAAGTCAATATTAATCCATATCTTCAGTTAGGAAGAGGATGAGTTAATTTTAGAGAGAGAATCGAGCATTGACTTCAAGCTGCTTTCGCCATCAAGAGTATATATATATATATATATAGTTTACATAATCTTGCTTGAAGTTTCGGTCAAGAGTTAACAATTGTAATGATGAGATTTATTTTTGCAGGCAAGGTAGGGTTAAGATTTGGCCTCACAAATACAAATATTGATAGGATGTTAATAAGGTTGTTGGATTTCTTTTTTAATATTATGTGCATATACATATTAGATTGCCCTAGCTGGACACATTAAGTTGAAACAAATTTTAACTTCATGATTTAGTATGAATTATAACTTTTGCAATCGTAAAGGATTGGCCTGATAGTTAAGGACGTTCGGTGTTTTTTTATTCTTTAATTTTGAACTTTAGAGGTAGTATTAATCATTTGAAAATTTTATTCTCCTAAATATATTAGATCCATATGGAGTATGTGGCGGCTTTTAAAATTTTCAGAAAAAATTTCTAAAAGGATATCTCCTAATTATTGAAAAAAAAAATTGTTTATTAACTTATCTTGGAAGAAAAATATTATTATAGTTACGAAACTAGTTTTTTTTTTTTACTTATACTAACGTTGCATATCTCCGAATAAAATACATAAAATTATTTTTTAAAAATAATTTTAGTTTGATTTTTTATGTTATATTATGTATATATAAAAATATATCAAATCAAAGTTGAATAAAAATTTGTTCAATTTTATAATTTTTTAATCAAAATTTTATATTTGATTGATTATTCTTTATATTTTTTCATAAATATTTTATTAAAAAAATATTATTTATTTATCTTTATCCATAGACTAAAAAATTTATAATAGTATAAAAATGTTAAAATCAATGAATTCTTAACTAAAAACTTATTTTGTAAATTTATTTCTAAATATCTACCTTAAAATTTTTAATTAAAAAAAAGGATCAAAGTGATCAAAATAAAACAAAAAAAGATTAAAATGAAACAAAAAATATTTACGGACTAAGAAAATAATATATATATTTTTAAATAAAGTGTAATGTTATGAAAAATTTTCATAATAAATATCTTTAAAATATTTAAAAATTACAAAAATATCAACGTATAGTGAAAGGAATAGAATGAATAATACATATAAAGTCTTGATAAATAATGTTAATGAACTTGGATGAAATTTTAAATAGTGCAATAAATAGTAACTAATTTTTTTTTTAATCTTTTTCTTTTTGTTAATTGAGTGATTAATGGAACACAAACGACAAAATGTCACATCATTTAGTAAACAAAATTAATAAAAAAAATTAAGTATCCCCAAGCTTGAACGTCTAAGAGTCTGTTTAGTATTTTTGTATTGTATTGTGCCTTGACTACCATACTGTGCTGTGTTGCGCTGTTCTATAAAACAAATGAACATAAAAACATAAGTAAAAGTAATTTTTATAATTGTAAATTTTCTTAAAAAAAATATATATATTATTTAATAAAATAGTGCATCTTACAATAAATCGTTTTGCTTTATGTTAAAAGTAGGGAGTACGTTATTGTGTTTAAAAAGTGAAGCATTTTTCTTTCAAAGTGTCAGGTCAGGTACTTGGTTATCAAAATAAAAGGGGCATTAACTAATTAAACACAAATTTTTAGACTAAAAGAAAATAAAAACAATTGCATTTTAAAAGCACAACCATATCAAACATGCACTTTGTTTTTGGAAAGATATCACCAACAGGGACAGTGTATCCTATTTTATTCATATTTTCTAAAAATAATACATTTTTTCCTTAATTAAATTGGATTCTTGAGGTAAAAAAATTCTTCTTCTTTAACCAAGCTGCCACATTTCAAAGAACAATAAATTGGTTAGGTAAGA